GAACGCATTTAGTCAAGTTAACAACTTTTTTTTCTCAGTGTATAATTGAATTATGACCGTAATATATTTTACATATTTAAAGATTTCATATTTTATACTTAGATTAATAAAAATAACGCGTATATATTATAATTAATATCTACAAAAACGTTCTTCTCACTTCCATAAAAAAAATTTCTTAATAAAATATGAAATGATGCAAGAACGACTTAATGGATAGAACGCTGCGTCGAAACAAGTCCGAGAAATTGACGAATGTAGGAATCCCGATGGAAACTTTTACTGGTCCCGTTCGCACCGGACCCGAAAGTGGGCGGGGGAGCAGATGATCTCGAGATGACGATATTGGCAACATGGTAGCGTCGCAAGATCGCACACGGAGGCTGAAACGGAAAAGAGAAGGACAGAGTGAGAGGGGAAAAGAGACGGGAGAATCCGAGGAGAGAGTAACTGGAAGAGAGAATGATCGGTGAAAGAGAGATGCGGCAACGACGCCGGTCGTGCAAAAATAACGCGGGAAGCCTCCTTTAAACTCAACCGAGCGCGTCTATAACTCGAAATACACACCGCGTATAGAGGAAAGGAATTTTGGGGCTTGTATCGAGAGTGTGCTCGAGAATAGGATAATGATTCTTATAAATGTATGGATCTGAAGATTTTATTTCTAATTTTATTTGATTTAAAAGCGAAATTGATAACTAAATATAAAAATATATCAGCTTCATAAATGTAAATGATAATAAAATATGTTTATTTACTTCATTTTTTAACTACTCAATAACGTATCTCGTTTTTATAAAATTTTAATCTAAGCTAAAATGTTTTTTAATTAAAGTTGAATAAAGTCTAAGCTAAAATGTTTGATAAATTTGGAAAAAAACGTAAATCGATTTTGCTGAGCGAAAATCGATTCCGAAAAAATTTTGGATAACGTAATCTATGTTTACAAATTTTGACCTTCTGCTCCGCTAAGATTAGACTCTATACATAACGCGAATAATTTTCGAAACGCGTATAGAGAAAAGAAATTTTCGGGCTTGTATCGAGTGTCCTCAAAAACAAAAAAATGATTCCCATAAATGTGGATCTGAAGAGATTTTATTTCCCATTTTATTTGATTTAAAAGCGAAATTGATAACTAAATATAAAAATATATCAGCTTCATAAATGTAAATGATAATAAAATATGTTTATTTACTTCATTTTTTAACTACTCAATAACGTATCTCGTTTTTATAAAATTTTAATCTAAGCTAAAATGTTTTTTAATTAAAGTTGAATAAAGTCTAAGCTAAAATGTTTGATAAATTTGGAAAAAAACGTAAATCGATTTTGCTGAGCGAAAATCGATTCCGAAAAAATTTTGGATAACGTAATCTATGTTTACAAATTTTGACCTTCTGCTCCGCTAAGATTAGACTCTATACATAACGCGAATAATTTTCGAAACGCGTATAGAGAAAAGAAATTTTCGGGCTTGTATCGAGTGTCCTCAAAAACAAAAAAATGATTCCCATAAATGTGGATCTGAAGAGATTTTATTTCCCATTTTATTTGATTTAAAAGCGAAATTGATAACTAAATATAAAAATATATCAGCTTCATAAATGTAAATGATAATAAAATATGTTTATTTACTTCATTTTTTAACTACTCAATAACGTATCTCGTTTTTATAAAATTTTAATCTAAGCTAAAATGTTTTTTAATTAAAGTTGAATAAAGTCTAAGCTAAAATGTTTGATAAATTTGGAAAAAAACGTAAATCGATTTTGCTGAGCGAAGATCGATTCCGAAAAAATTTTGGATAACGTAATCTATGTTTGCAAATTTTGATTCTCCGATCCGATAAAATTAGACTCTATACATAACGCGAGTAATTTTCGAAACGCGTTGGGCGGTCTGCCGGCGATTCACGCTAATTGCGCCGTTAACCCTCGCTTAATGACTGCGTGATAAAACACAGCGCGCTTTTCCGTGGAAAAACTCGGAGCTGCGGAGTGAATTTTTCGCTCCGTCGATTATGACACTTTACGTGCGCGCGCTTCCGATTTTGCATGATTTATGCTTCCATTAATTTGTTCACGCGGGGGATATGAGACGATACACGCATCTCGAACCGTGCCAAGTTTTTTTTTACAATGCAGAATTTTACTCACAATTATATCCGAGATCGCATGTGTTACAGATCCATTTAACAAATTGTTCATTTTTTTTTTAAACAAAATTCTTTTAGTAATAATTATAATGTGCAATAATTTTGATATTATTTTGAACACTACTAGTTTATACTAATTTTAATATTACGTGTATGTGTGTGTGTGTGTGTATTTTGTGAATATTATTTATTTGACAAGTGCAAAAAATAATTTCTTTCTTTCATCTATTATTTCATCTTTTATTTCTATTTTGTTTTCGTAATAATTATTTTCTCTCTCTTAAATTCGTATTACTAATTGTAATTAGACAAATTTGATTATATTTAATCGCCTAGTTAATTAAGTAATTATCACCCCATTTATTTTTTATGAGTATTATTTTAAGCGGGAGTATTTTATATTTTATTCTTTACAATTTTCTTTAATTATCATGTATATGTAGATAATACACAGAGTCTAATATGTGCTCCGTTTCGTAGAATGATTCACAATCAATCCTTCGGGCCGACGGAAATATTAGAAAGCGGCGACTGCTTTTCATTAAGTCGAGGATGTCTCGTTAAAAGTTTATATGGTCGATTACTGTCTTTATGCCTCGTTTTAATATACTCAATCCGTATCGGGACTGTGATAATTATCAAATCAAATCGTGAGAACAGTAGGACTCTGGAAACTGTAGTTCGACGTTCGTCATATCTATTTTATGCCGCCAGTTTCCATTATCGCTTACGATTAATTACCTTCGATATATTTGATCACGCCTATCATTCCTCGCGAAATTATTCCATTGTTTATACAGTAACCATTGATATAAAAATGTACCTATTCTGCGAAATGCACGTTCTTATAAGAATATTTGTGGAAACGCGAGAGTTCTTCTCGAGACTCTAAATCGACTACTGCCATAGAATCTCCTATCTTCTTGACGAGTAAATTTCCATCAAGCTTTCCACGTCAAGCAGATTCCTACGTTATTTGAAGATTGCAAATCGCCTCTCTATTTTAAATTAGCACAATATATCACCGTTTCATGTCGACAATCCTTATCACGCTAATCGCGAAACAACGACGTCAGAGTTACAAGGTAACTTCGCGTGAGATATTGTCACGCAAGGCACTGTTCAGAGAAATCAGAACACCATGAAACTATCCAGATGCATTTATAATTTTTTCCTGGCTCGGCAATTGCTGCGTAGTTAGTCCTATTTAAAATATCAATCGTATTGCATATCCTTGGAAATTCCTCATTATGACACGCGACGAAATTAATAGCCATAGCCTCAGTATGTATGTGTGATGGTTTCACCATATAAGTTTTTTATCCGTGTACAAAATTGTTGAGCAAAGCAATCATGATTTGTCTACGATCGTCGTTTGATGTCATCGGAAAAAAAAAAAATTATATATATGTTCAAAAAGACTTTTTCTTATTCTGTCGGAAAATATTCTTCCATATATAACTTTTGCGTAGAGAACGCGCGTGACATAAATAGCTTTGATATCATAAACTACTCCCAAAGTCGACACCTTGGATTTAATGACCACGACAATTTTAATTATCAGGAGAATGCGCCGCGTGTTAACAGATAAAATCAAAGCTTCTGCGCGACACATCACATTGATTCTCTCTCTCTCTCTCTCTCTTTCTCTCCAAGAAACCGGAGATAATTCGGCGATAACGATCTCAGAGAGAGAATCCGGGATTCTCCGTGGTGTTCCGATTTCACTGACCGATAGCGTTCCAGTATCTACCGTGCCGTAACAACGTGGAGATATCGCGAAGAAACGGAGGGACGGTCGGACATTCTCAGTCGAGCTCACTGTCGGTCGTTAGAGCGCGCCGGGCCGTCTCTAATCGTCATGGAAGGATACTGAGACCGGTGGATCAGCCGGTCTCAGGGAACGGGACGGGGAGGATTGGAAGGGGGGGGGAGGGGAGGAGAGGAGAGAGTTTTGTAATGACGGGCGCCAACCAGCGTTGGTCTTCAAACCAGACGGATGAATGACGTTTTTGGCTCCTCGACACCTCTCCTCTCTAGCGCGCGCGCTGCGCTAGAATTTCAAGCCTCCGCTATATAAAAAGGAGATGGGGAGGGGAGGGAGTGGAGGAGAGAATTAGGCTGCTCTATCCAACAGCGCGATGGCTTAAGGGCTTTTCACATCTCGGCTGAGAAACGCGAGCCCTCTCACTGTCAGTCCCCTTATTTTTCCTCTCCACCTTTCTCTCGCGACCTCTCATATAGCGCTCTTATAGAGTCTCTTATAGATGCGGCTATAACGTTATAGGCAAGCGGCACTCGTGGAAATTTAGCGGTAATCTGTAAAGTAAACCGCTTTTTCGTCATTACGTGTTAAATCTCGCGAGAAGCTTCAAAAGTAGACAATCACACTGTAAAAAATTTTTTTTAAATTCAGTTTTTATCTGAATTTTCAAATCTGAGTGTCTGAAAAAAATTTCAGGCAATCTATCTTAATTATTAGAGTCGTTTTTCTGAAAGATCAGGAGAATTTGTCTAAAAATTGAAGTGTGTCTGAAAATTCAGACAGTGTGTCTGCAAAAAAGCTGCGGATACTTTGTCTGAAGTTTCAGTCAACGCTTTTTTACAGTGTAAAATTGAAAAATACATGCAGGAGAGACTATCAACAGACCACATCCGAGACGAAGGTCTGAGCGATTCACGCGTAAAATTTAATTCACACCACGCCGACGAAACGCATCGCTGAGAGACGCGCATCGTCCGCGTTATCGCGCGCGGGCTAATAAAAATTTCTCGACTAGCGGAGGCGCGATTGCACGCCGGAAAGAGCACCAATTATTGTGCTCGTTACTCGAGTAACAACAATGTTACCATAAGTAACTACATATAATACTTGTAGCAACGTAATTAATAGCGCACGCGTGATAAGCGCGCATATAAGTGCGGAAGGACCTTGATATAAAAGGGGATAAGAAGCGCGCTTGATGAATAAGTTCCACTTGCACTCGTGATATCTACATCATTAATACCGTCTATTTAATAACGTCTCACTCGTACAATAAATGTAACATTGCAATATATTCGCGTTGATATCGGAGAAAAGACTTACGATCGGTCATAAAAACGAGGCTTTATCTATACAATTTCTCGCGATTTCCTCATTTCCGACATCATGATCCGCCGATGACCGATGTGGCATCCGAATGAAATAACGAATAACTCGTTGAGAGTGCACGCTGGCAAGAAGAGAATCTCTTCCCTTTCCTCCGATTAACGATTCTCGGAACCGCGTATCCCTGAACTTTCGCCGGACATTTTCGCGTGCCGCACACTAAGCCGTGCATAAATAATGCGCGTCGTAATGTCGTCTGAAGAGAGCGAAACGAGCCACGACGATTGTCCGTCCGGCGGCATCGATTTATGCGTGTACTTCGACCCGGCGTGACGTCGATGATGATGATGGCCGGCAGCGACGACGACGACGACGACGACGACAATGGCGATGGCGATGCGCGAATCGACGGTGCAAACGGGCCTTAAACTCTCCCCGCGCTGCTGCATTTTGCATCGGTATGCATTCCCGTGCGCGCGCGGGAAACACAGAGAAGAAGAGATACAGATATATATATATATATATATATATACCTCTCTCTCTCCGTCGGTTCTCCTCCGCGCCACGTGACTGCACGCTGCAGCTGTAGCCGTCGCTCTGCGCGACTTGCATCCGCAAGTTCCTCGCCTCCGTGGATTTTTAACGCGAATTCTCGCCACGAGTTTGACGCCTCGGCTCGACAAGCGATAATTGAGCGACCGTGAGTACACCAAAGGTATTCCTCCATAACCGGCAATTTCTCGTATTTCATTTAAATAACGGAGAAGCGAGGAAAACACATGGATGGAAAATATATTCGTCGTGACATTTGTCAATTGGTTAAGGCGTTCGAGAATTACGAGAGGTCCTCAAACTTGGACTCTATTGGCTATGTGAATAAGGATTGCAATAACTTTTCCTTCATATGTCAAAACAACTTCAATTCAAATGCGTCAAAACAACTTTACTAACTTTAATCATGCTGCGTACAATTGGAAATATTAATTTTTTTATAGTAAGATTGATTTATTTTCTTAAAATATCCTTGTACACCTCGAGTACTAATAGTGTCAATTCGAGAATATGAGTAAAAAGATGCGGCTTTTTACACGCGAACAATTTCATGATAAGTTAAATGGCTAATAAACGCAGTATTAATGATTAAGTTGGAATTTTTACTATTTTATCTAAACAAAAAGATATTAGTTGTCCAATATGTGTCTCTATCTCTTTATGAATTGTGAAAGATCCTTATAAAAATAATATACCAGTTGTGTATAATTTCTATATAATTTTTATCTTATTTTAACTATTTAATCATAGAAAATCTGACAATTGCAATTCTCTCTCTCTCTCTCTCTCTCTTTCTCTGTTAAAATATCAGAAATAATGAAAGAGATTAAAAAATGACGTAAGTGCCAAATTAAAGAAACTCTGGAAAAAACGCCGAAGAAATATTCGTCCAGTTCAAAGAAAAAAAATTTTTTTTTTCTCGCTATTTAAAGTGTCGTTCCAACAAAGTAGGTTCGAACGTCGACAGACATAATTTGCGTAGAAGACTATTAACAATTACACACGCGCAACTGCAGGTTTTCAAGATTGAATTACTTCGAAATGTTGATGACTAATTAGTGAACGAAACACAAAAACGAGAGATATCTCGCCGGTCATATACGTAACGCGTAACGTCGAGCCCGTCGACCCAGAAGCACGAGCTTTATAATTGTAAACGCTATAATGCATTATTAACGTTTTAATTATGTGCGCCGCGCTAAATAAACACTCGCTGCTTCACGGTTCTAACGTTTTGTTCGACTCGTATTCGCGTTACATTTGTTTAATTTCATTAAAAGATCAACTGTCGTTTATACAAGCTATTTTGTTATTAATCAACAATTAATGATTTATAAGACTATAACTTAATATTTCGTTTTAATCGTATAATAAACAGTTGCGATTTTCGTTATGTTTACCGCGATAACTGTGACCTTTATTTTCCTCGAAAGATTACAATGTCGTAAGTTTAAAATTTACGATGCGCGTACGTAATTTATGTAAAATAGATTCGATTCCTGTTGAAATAAACGTTTGATGTATTTACTATCCTTTCTTTATCGTTTAGATAAGCTTCTTCTCTTATCAACGGTAAAGCGTAGTTTCAAGCTACTCGAGATATCCACTGTTTCCATTAATTAAAAAAATGTTAAACAAGAATTTATAGGAGCAATATTTTCACAATCGAATGACAATCGAAAGGAATTAACAGAGGAATTATAGAAAAATAAAATCGATGAATAATCGTAATTTTAATAATTATTAAAATTATTAAAATTTTACACGAGTGTATTAAAATTATAAAATAGAATAGCTCCTCCCGGACTGAAGATATTGTCTAAAACGTCCGTCCGTAATGTAATCGCGACGTGAATCATCAAAAATATCATGCGCACGAATTCCCGCCGGATGAATTCTCGCGCTCTAACCTTCGCACTGTCGCGTGTCACAATTGTTTCCATACAGAACGGAAGTTTTTATACTAGCGTGTAAACGTGACTCTGGAGTGACTTCGGCATTCATGCCGCACATTTAGTTCGAACTCGGGTTACCCGTGATAAAAATCGCGTTTCTTGCATTAAATGAAACTCCGGCCATAACGATGGCTCCAGGAACGTGGACTTTTTGTATTTTATTGCGTCTCGTGTGAGTCATCGTTTTAGAAAAATTTTATTGCGCATTTGCGTTAAGACGAAAAACAAGGACGCTTCGGCCAATGTGACACTCGATGATAAGCAAGGAAGAATCATTAACGCGAGAATTAATGTGTCGACACGAATTTTACGTTTTACTGCTAGTCGTTTGCATATCGCTCCGTTAACGAATTATACATATATCTTGAAATCACGAAGCGTGACCTCTTCAAACTTGTCCCAAGAGATCAAGGAAGATTCAACGCTAGAAAGGTCGCGCGTTTGTCATTGGGATTCTCATTAAAAACACGCTTTGGAAAAAGTGTTTCGTGACACAGGATTAAATTTTGATCGTCTAATCCCGAGTTTACCTTCTGACTAGAACATACACACACACACACACACACACACACACACACACACATACGAAAGTGGAAAAGTGTTCGCTTACCTTCCAACCGGCGCTGCTGTTGTTATCACCCTTGTCCTTGAAGTAGGACACATTCTGGACCATCCACTCGTAGATCTGTGAGAGGGTGAGCCGCTGATCGGGCGCGCTGGTGATCGCCTGCGTGATCAGGTCAGCGTAGCTGAGGTTACCCCAGGCGTTCCTCCTGGACGAGTTCTTCTTCACCGTCAGTAGACCGCCCTGAGCCAGCTGGGTCTGATGGGGCGGCGTGCCGCCTTCGGCGCCCTCCTTCGTGGCGGGCGCGTTGCCCTCGACGTATCCTTCGGGTCGCGGTAACGGCCATGTGTTGGAACGGGCTCTGGTCTGTGGCTCGAAGCCGGTCTCCAGATCCGGCGAGGTCGAGAACTCGAAGGAGACTCCCTTCTTCTGCGCCTGCTGCTGTTGCTGTTGCTGCTGCTGCTGTTGGGACGGGGTCATCGGCCCCGTAGCTGAGACCGGAACCGAATCCATCATATTGGATGATAGATCGACACCGAGAGAACCCGTTCGGGCGCGAGGGAGACGATCCAGATTGCGTTTCGGTCGCACTATCACTAGATACAAATGTATACGTGTGTGGAGAGATGGCCTTCGTACGTCCTCGTTCGTCCACGTTCAAGTCAGATTAATGTGCGTCGCTGCTACTTCTCACTGCGATTCCTCGACACATCACCACCAAAAGGGACCATCGATCGAGCGCGGGATCGGAACGCGCGGGAACTCTGTCGTGCCGAGCGACGACGACGACGTTCGACGGCGAGTTCGCGGGGAGCGGCTGCGATTGTGCCCTCACGTGCGACTGGCGACGGCGATGAACCAACTGAGGATTCCGGTGTTCTGCGTGCCGAAAGAGCGCGCGCGAGCGAGCGAGCAAGAGAGTCGTAGAAGGAGAACGACGGCGACGGCGACGATGACGGCGATAACAGCGGCAGCGGGGGAGAACGAGCGAGAGAGAGTGAAAGAGCGAGAGAGAGAGCGAGAGAGAGAGAGAGAAAGAGCGAAGATAGAAGAGCGAAGCCAGTGGTGCGAAGAGAGAGAAACGATGATAGGCGCACGACGCGGCGGAAGGAGGGAGCAGACCACGTGGTCAAACTCTGTGTTTACAAGCCGTGCCGTCCGGGGGTCACGTGGCCATGTTTTGATAGGAACTTGGCCCGCCAGCACGAGCCGAGCGAGAGTCTACTCTTCTACGTCGTCACTGATGATGACGATGATGGCTGCTCGTCGCGGCGTGATTCTCTCCGTGTTCGGCTAGCGACGACGCGATCCTCCCTAGAGTTCGCCGATGGCGCGATCGCGTTGACGGTGATCCTTGGTGCCCTCGTTGCTCTCGGCGGACCGTTTTTCCTGGTATCTCTCATCGATTATCCTCGGGATCCTCGGGATCGCCGGCGAGCTGTCGCTCCGCGCGTTCCTCCGAGCGATCGCGAGGTCGATCGCGCCTCTCTCGTGTCGGACACACGTGGACGAGTCTCCTTCGGGATGAGAATCCGTCTGTCGTGACGATGGTCGCGCTTTCAACCCCGTTCGGCGCGAAAGAAGAGAGGAGAGAAAGAGAGAGAAGGACTTGCGAACGTGCGCGCAAAATCGCTCGAAATAAATGACGACTCGTACTCTCGTATACGACGGATATGAGGTAAAGGAAACCTACTGACACTACGTACAACTTGCCGGCAAGGCAGCGCGGCGCATACTGGCGAATTCCTCCGGCCGGCGCTCGGAACCGACCGAGTGGAGCCGAAGTCGCGAGGAGCGAATTTGCGACGCCTGTCGCCGCACTTTGGCGCGCCGATCGCCGACAGCGTGACATGTGCGAGCGAGAAAGAGAGAGAGAGAGAGAGAGAGAGAGAGAGACGGAGAGAAAGAGACACGGAGAGTAAGAGAGCGAGAGAGAGGGCCGAAGGAGTACTCTCGTAGCGTGAAAGGGAGATGCACGGAGGGTACTCGAGAGTGGGGTGGTACTAGGTGGGTGGCTCGGCGGCTTGGTAGGGACAAGAAAACCGGAGTGGGAAGCTAACAGTATAGTGGGGAGAGAGAGAGAAAGAAGGATAAATAAGAGCGAGAGAGAGACAACTACGGGTTGCAACTTTGTGTGACGAGAGTGGGAGGCGAGAAGGAGAAAGAGAGAGAGATTGAGTGAGCCGGAGTCGGTGAAGGAACGGGGGAGGAAGAGGGACGAAGAGGGGAAATGCGACGCGAGGAGGGAGAGTGCAGCGTGCACTCTCGTCGCATCTAACGGGTGGGCGGGAAAAGGGGTATATACGCTGTATCCCACCTCCCTTTGGGGTTTAGGCATCGCGCGCAGAACCCACGAGGAGGGAATATTCGCACGCGGTGCATCTCTTCCCTCTCCCTCTACCGTCCTCCCCCCACGCTCTTAC